ATCCTGCTACCTATTGGCAGCTCAGCGGCTGCTCAGCTCTGGCTGGACTCGAACCGCTGTTGCTCAGAGCTCAAACTCTTCAGCGAGCTCTTAACCAACTGAGCCACTCAGCCGGCCCTAAAAAACCAGCTTTTAATTATATAAACATCTAATGGGGGGAAAGACCACACCAAGATCTATTTTACACCCTCAGGTTGACAAAACTTAGTATGACTGTGAGGATGCAGATTAGCAAGACATCTCTTACACTGCTGGTGGGAGTGCAAATTAGTACAACCCTCCGGGGAATAGTTTGGTTTTACTTTGAAAATTTTAATCAAGTTAAAGATTTGAGTCCCTTACACTCAGCACCTTCATTCCTAGGTACTTTCCCGAGAAGAATTTTGAGCATGTCTACCAGATGGGATGTCCAAGAAGGTTTGTAATGGTACTGAAAGCAAAAAACCAGAAACACACCTGGCGTCCATTAAAAGGAGAATGGATAAATTGTAGTGTATTCACAGTGCTGAAAAGGAAGGAACTACAGATGCACAAGAAAAATAATGTTGAGTGAACAGCAAAATTCAGAAGACTCCATATAGGTTGATACTTGTTTTTTTGTTTGTTTGTTTTTAATACATATAGCTCAAAACCAAGCACAGGAAACATTATTTAGGCATACAAAAATATGATAAAACTCTATACTAAAATTACAAGGGTTGAGAGAACCTTTTGGGATTTACTGATAGGACACTTAAAAGGGATATTTTTTTTGCATGTAAATTATACCTCAATAAAGCTGATGAGAGGGAGGCCAGAAGAAACTTGTTCTGCCTCTGGACGTGCTGTGTAAGGAGGTGATGCTAGGGCAGGAGCCACCATCGGGTGATTCAGCTGTCATGCTGAGGATGGCAGGGCAGAAAAGAAATAGGAGCTAAGTTCTTGAAAATGTCACTGAGCCACCTAAAGGACTTTGCTTTCGTTGCTATAACTCTAGCTCCTAAAACTGCCTGACAACAGTTGGCACTCAATAAATATATTTTTAAGAATTTTTATTCAAGTATAGTTTAACATTTTTTAAATGTTTGAATTTAACAACCCTGGGACACCCTACCTCTGGATTTCTTGCTATGTGAAATAATGCATTCCCTTTTGATTCAAGTCCTTTGATTTGGGTGTTATCTGCAGCCAAACACATCTTAACTGGTGACCTGCATGGTGAGTTACCGCTAACATTTTAGGGAGGCACCTACTATGTGGCAGGCCCTGTGTGGCAGGCATTTTCTGCATGATCTCTGAATTTTCACAACACCCCTGTGAGGTTGGCTTCAGGTCCTCCATTTAACTGATTGGGCCCCAGAAGAGACTACAGATCGTGCTTGTTTGGTCTTCCCATCCACTGGATGCCGCCTGTGTTGAGACACACTTCTGTGTCCACCCATCACCTTTAAGGAATTCCAACATAGCAGTCACATATTTAAGATCGGGGGAAAGGTCTATATTCACCTTAAGAAGCCAGTGGAGGCATCCCATCATTCCAGTCATCTGCTACACAACAAACCATGCCAAATCTTAGTGGCTTAAAGCAATTTATTATGTCTTGTGGTTCTGCGGGTCGACTGGGTTCAGCTGGCCAGTTCTTGCTTAGGTCTACTCATGCCAGTGGAGTTGGATACCAGCTGGGTCTGCAGTCAGCCAAAGGACCTCTTGGCTGGATGTCAAGATAGCTTACTCACATGGCAGGCAGTTGATGCTGGCCGTGACCTTGGGCTGTGGACTGGAATGCCCATCACATGGCCTCTCTGTGTGGTTTGAGCTCCTCACTGCATATTGGCTGGGTTTTGAGAGAGAGCATCCAAGAGTGAGCTTTCCAAAACACCCAATCAGAAGCTGTAAGGTTTATTATGATCTAGTTCTAGGAGTCGCAGAATGTCACTTTTTCTGTATTCTTCTGGTCAAGTAAATCACTAAGGGCAACCTGTATTCAAGGAGAGGGCAAGCCAACCATTTCTTGATGGAAGGAGTGGCAAGGGTTCGATTCCAGGTGTCAATCTATTAACTTTTTACTGTCAATTATAACTCATCACCAAGAACTGCCTGGCATGAGCCCCTTCTTTTCTTGCTTCTCCCTGTCTCCATAGTGCCACCCACTATCCATGGCTCTTAGCTGGAAACTTTATCTGGCCTCTGGCTCTAGGGCCAGAGGTGGCTTAAGTTTTGTGCCCCTTCACTCTATCCTGACTTCTCTCTGATGTCCTTAAGCTTTGAAATGTTTGTCTTTTTGTTGTAGTTAAGTAAACTTTTTTACTGGAGTGTAATCATACTGTCAAGTACACAAATCTTAAATTCAGGTGCATAAATTTCCTTATCCAGCTAGGTGGCTGGGGATTAGGTGAGCAGGACAGATCATCATCTTTGCAGAATTCAGTCAGTTATGGTCTCTGAAGAGGGTTCTGGCTCTCTAGGGTTTTTCAAGACAATCCTATCAGGTCTAGGAAAATATTTGAGAGTCAATTTATGACCACTTTTATCTCCTTTAAGCATTTCTATATGGGTGCATTTTTATACTGTGTATATTAATCCAGTGTAACTTGTAAGTTACACGCACATACAGAGGGTGCTAAAAAAAGTATACACATTTTTAGAAAGGAAAAAACTATTAAAATTGTAATAAAATGAATGACACTAGCATTCTTCGATTAACGCCATCTTTTGAGCGAACGTCCTACTACACATTGCTACCATAATTCAACTTCGAAAAGAGATACATAGACAACATCTCTTAAAATGTGTACTTTTTTTGGGGCACCCCCGGTATACTGCAGATGCGTGCTCATAAACTTATGGGGTATGTGGTCAAAAGGTTTGAGGGTTTCTGGTCTACACTGGGGGAAAGACATAAACAGGACAATTTCCGTTAAGGTGATGTGTACTGAAATAGAGGCATCGCTAGGCCCTGCGGTGCTGAGCGGACTAAGGTCCGGAGGGAGTGTAGGATTGTCATTACTAGTTTTCAGGAGGAGAGGAAAGTAAAATTCTGATGTGAAGGATAAGTAAAAGTTTGAAGCTGCATGTGCAAGAGAACCCAGAAATGACATTGTGGAGTACTTTTTAAATTATGGAACTAGTTGTAAACAACTTCCATATCAAGAAACAGCATTGATAGCTCCCCAAACTCTCATTTCTGTCCTATTAATTACCTTCCTGTAGCATATTCTATTTTCTGTAAATGACTGTAACGATGTCTTCCATTCCACATGTTCCTCTTTACAGTGGAGTCTGTGACCACTCCTCTTTTTTTTTTTTTTTTAAGATTTTTTTTTTTATTGGGGGAATTGGAACAGTGCTGGGGAATTGGGGGAAGGGGAACAGACAAGTTGCTGTCATTTTTTTTTTGTTCTTCAACCTAGTTGTGGAGGATGTTGCTTCACTGGCCCAAGTTGGCACCATCATTGTGCTCTTCCCTGGTGAGGCAGATCAGTCGCCGGCTTCTGGATGGCCGCTCACGCTGGCTGCGGGCCGCTCACGCTGGCTGCTGGCTACACACGGTAGCCCATGGCAACCCACTGCCACAGGGGCTGCAGCCTACGCCGTTGCCATCGCCGGCGACTCACGGCAGCCCAGCTCCAGGTTGAGCTGTTGTTCAGCATCTTAGCTGTGGAGGGCAGTGTCACTGGCCCTCATATGTGGGATCCGAACCGGGGCCCTCTGGCGTCCCAAGCGAGTTCTTAACCATCGCGCCACTCGGCCGGCCCTGTGACCACTCCTCTTGATCCTGGGTAGACACACCTGGGACCAGAACGACCGAGAGGGTATGGCAGCAGTGACATTATGTGACATCTAAGGCCAGGTCATAGAAGACAATATGGCTTCTACCTGATTCTCTCTCTGGAAATGCTCACCTTTCATCCCAGCTGCTGTGCTGTGAGGAAGTTCAGGCCACATGGATCGAGAGGTGCTGACCCGTAGCCAGCATCACTGCCAGATGTAGGAATGAGGAAGCCTTCAAGATGTCCCTGCTCCAGCCATCACCTGACTAACCACATGAGAAGCCCCAAGAGAAAACCAAGCCAAGTTCCAGAAACATGAATGATAATAGTAATCAGTTATCACTGTTTTGTGTCATTAAGTTGAGGGAGGGTTATTATGCCACAATAATAACTGATACACCCCCTTTTCCCCAAGGGTACCCACCATGCTCACTGCTAGCACACAGATTACTTTTGCCTGATTCTTTATGTAAATGAAATAAAGTACACCAACCTCTGGATTTTCTCTTTTACCATGATCTTTGGGCTCGGACCCATCTTTTGAGAGTTTAATGAGTGGGTGCACGTTTTGGCTTCCCAGTGCCCTGTTCTTGGAGGGCGGCGTTGTGGACATTGATTATAGTGATGTGTCAAATGCTTTTCTGGTTACAGCACCGCAAATTCTCCCC